GTAGAATAGTCTTTTTCAATTTCCTGTATTTAGCCTATATATAGTTTCTTTGTTTATAGGTTAAATCATTCTTTTGGATTCAATTGCATTATGTAGAATTAATAAAACCCTAGCCTCCTTTTTCATTTCCTTTATTTTTTTGAATTGTTTAACATTGTCAACATAAATTTGATTAGTTGATCATTAACATCACCACATTAATATTATTTATTAGCTACATATATGAATTGAAAATTATGCAAAGTGAAGAGTTAAGATATATAATTAAACAAGAAGTGATTAAAGTTCCTTTGCTTTTCGCTTTTGAGACCTTAAGAACCACTCTTGGTAGACGTTGAGATTTTTGAATTACTTCTTCCAAGGTTATTTGAATTCACTCTCTTTCATTCCACGATCCTTTTTATGTCGAACAACATCACTCACATTTTGAAAAACTACAAAAATCCAAAAGTATATTAATTCGCTAACAACTTATAACTGACTCTCAAATATTAAAAACAAAGTGTGGCCTAAGCTCTCTAGTTAAAATGGAGGGTTCAGCTGTTAATACTGGTCTCATCATGGGGAAATGATTTGCAAATTGTCGAAAAATTGGATCTTCACACTTGGAAAGAACAAACATAAAAATTAGGGTTTGTTCTCTTTGCTGTTTTCAGGTTATTTTCAGTTTTTAGTTTTGGAAAACACTGAAAACACATTTACTTACCTATTTTTAGAAATAAATTTCCAAAAACGAGTTTAAGTTTTTCAAAGAAAACGGAAAATGCCAAAAAGTCATTTTGGCTGTTTTTAGTCAAAACCAAGCCAAAACTTCATTTTTTAAAAATTTTTTTTTTTTTTTCAAAATGACAAAAAGAATCTGTTTTTAACAATCTTAAAATGGACACTCAAAACACAAAACTCAAAATGAATTTAAAATTAAAAACTGAAATACGAAGAGAATAACTCCTTAATTTTTTCGATACATTTTGATAGGATATAGATAAAAAGTAAATGGAAGATAACAAGCGAAGGTTATACAAAACAGAGGCATGTGCTCTCTATTCCTCACTAAGCACCACATGTAACGTACCTGTTAATTATACAGAAAAGAAAAGAAACATAAACATAGATGCTAATACTTGTATGAACATCTAAGAATTTATGACTGAACTTTCACAAGAATCATAACAGTGTACAAGCAAAAAAATACTTAAACCCAAAGAATACATAACGTTGAAACATTTGAACAAAAGAGAAGAAAATTTGTCGAAAAGACTGCAGAATTTTTAAAAGTTCAGCCCTCCTTAACGAAAATCCAGTATCGCCTACATATTTTTATAATTTTAAATTGTCATATAATTATATTATTATCAACATTGTCAAATTCATCATTTTTAATGTACACAATTAGACTATCATTCACCCATCGATTTTCCAATCTAATACCATGGTTCATACCGTGGATTGATGATTTTGTGATGTTTGGCATTGATGTGGAGAAGAACATCGTCGGTTGTCAACATCGGTGCAAATG